GATATTTATTATAATATATCAATTATTTATTTTTTACTAAATTATCATATTTTTGTTTAACATCCAAATGTTCCAATGATCCACTGAGTCCACTGTTACACAAAAAACTAAATGAATAATTTTACTACAGTCTAGTAGTCTACATTCTATACCTGCATGTTTTGTCTGGTGTCATTCGCTCAAAGCGACTATTATTTTAACTACACTGCATTGTTATAAATAATGTGGACGAGGGCGATTATTATATTTCTTGTCGACCAAATAAAAACGCCGACTAATTAACAAGTGTTTTCGCGATGGTGTTTGTCGCAAAACAATAGCCCAGTGTAAATTATGGATAATCTCTTTTTGGCGCAGCCCCCGTTTTATTGTGTTTTGTATATAAACTATATTGCGTGCGACTCCACTTCCGCCTCCGCCCACGGTTATAATCGCTAACGGGTATGTGTCTATGTCATTATACCCTTTAGGAAACCCGCCGAATTCCTCGAACCCAATTCCCATAAATTCCATTGGGCTGCGGCCATTACACACGCGTTCAATTGATATAATAACAACAAAGTTTCAGCCTCCCTTGCACTTTACAATGGGATCGATCGTCGCGCTTAAGCTCATAATTGTTATTATAATAAAACCCCTGCGGTTGACACCACCCCTTATTTATCGCGTTGTTTAAACCATATTTTTTTAGTTAATTTTCAATTACACTTGAAAATAACAGTAATAACAGTTAATAAATTCGGCGATGACACAAAATCCTGGAATTTTTTACTCGTAGGTACTAAATTTTGTAGGTACTAAAACCTACTTGTATTTTTTTTTTGCCAATTATTCTGATTACATGTAGGTTACTCTCGATTGTATCATCCTAGTTTTAAACCGTATAAAATAGTATTATACAAAAATATTGATTATAATTTCGGTATTGTTGTTACTTTTTTATAACTTACAATAATAATATGTAGTATAACAAAGTAATAATAAGCGCGACCATTACTGCACTCCGGTAATGTGTTCTCTAGGAAGACCTTGAAATGGCAAGCGGTGCATGTAGTACTGTGCTACTACTGCTGTAGATAGGGTAAATACTATGTTATACCGTATTGGTGAAAGCAGAACACCGTTGCCGCCGACCTTGGATCATTCTAGTCTACTTACGAAACTCTCCCCCGTGTAAAATTAACAATATCGAATAATCGCGCGGAAACAAAAACGCCTATACACTTGTGGTCGGTTATAAAGGATTTAAGTCTGTCGTTCCTCCATACACAATATCATAAAAAAAAAATGTAAAAATCTTTCTCGGTATTATATTCATTATCAGTATTACGTATAGACGTTAACACGATATCGTTCAGGGATGGTCGTCGACCAGCATAGAAACATTGTGTCACGTTTTCTTTTTTTTCTATGTACTTCTCCACCTCATTATGAGCAAATGTTTTATTATTCATACATGGCTTGACGGTCAACGGCGCCTGTCGACGCACAACAATAATACGTAGGTATTATATAATAGTATTACCGAAAATTAATATTTAAAAATAAAAAGTAATTTACAGTTTTTTTTTATTATTCTTGATGAATGCCCAATTGATTTTTACCAAATTTTTGTTTCTATGTACTTATATAAAGCGCGTGTGACCTACTTAAATGTCTTTTTTTTCTATGAGATAATATTAATAAATTGTAATTGATGATAAATTATAATTTTTCAAACCTAACAGCTTATACTTTAAATTGCACGATTGACACCCAAAAGGATTACAACTAATGTTGCACTATTTTAATTATACTCTTTTAAAATCGGCTCTTGGTCAGTCTATCTGCTACTTTTTTACTACTATCTTAATTATCTCCAAAAAACGACTATCCAGAAAATAGTCTCTTGTTAATCCGTATTATGTGATCGGCTAACGGAACGTTAAGAGACCATTTGTCCATATTATAGTGCACACATTTTTATACAAACGTAAGTATAATTTTTGCACACGCTTATAGAGCTGAATTTATTCAAATATTTTCATAAATAATACCGTCCGTGTGTATTAGACCGGATCGCGCTTTACACGCGATGACAATTAAAACGTCCGGACTTATATTATGACTAATAGTAATAATAATTATATAAAAAGAATGTTTGAATTTGCATATAATTGTGTGAATAGACACGGAAACGCGAGCAACTGGAGTTTGTGCTTGACTATTCGCCTAAACGGGCAATGGGTTTTAGTAAATAAATTTCAAATCTACATAAATGAGCGCACTCTGACTGCTAGTCGCTCTTTGTGCACACACATATGCAAACACGACAGACCCCATTTCCTTTGGCGTTTGGAAAATCTATCGTAGCTGATTAGTGTTAGTAATTAAACCTGAAATAAGCACCTAAATGAAATTGCACGTGCATACCTCATATGAGTAAATTGGTAAATCATTTGTTATTTAATCGTTGGCTAGTATGCATTTACGTTGTCTACTGTTTTTAAATTTGGGCGTCACCGTTATTACCGATTTCCGCCATAATAAATACAAACTTGTTATCTAGTATGTTTTAAGAACCCCTAACTTAATTTATAACATTTTAATTTTTTTTTTTAGTCTTCTAAATTTAATTTCTATGTTTTTTGAAAATGCCCCGAATCGATATTTGTTTTGTTAGCCTAATAAACATATAGGATATACTATCTATATAATACCTGTACACTGATAATAATATCATCTCGTTAGTGAAAAAATCACGTGACTGTTTATTGAGTTCTTTAAAATTTATAATTCAAATATGAAGTGCCATTTTTTTTTATTGTGTCTGAAAAAATTGAAGTAACTACGAGTAACCGTGGGCATATTATACTAAATTATAACAATTTTTAATTAAACTAAGCGTATACAGCTAAAAATGGCATTAGCATACGATGGAGGTGGTACGACATAAAGTGTTGTATGTCTAAAATTTTCACAAAAAAATAATAATTATGAACTCGTCAGAATATAGGGTAATCATACAGCAGAACATAGTGCTCTCGATAAACAAATTATTAATTTAGCCTGTAATCGGAAATTAGTAAATGATATTATTGATTTAATTTATTTCAGGGGTTCATAAAAAAATATTAGGTAACAAATTTTCATTTATTTTGACGGAAAATAGAAACGCCTTTAAATTTAACTCGCGAAACCTTAAGAAAACGTTTTTTGTTTAAAGTAATCTAAGTAATTCAACACCAACAAAAAACCTGTTTTTGATTAATAAACTATATCAAACGGACAAATATAATGTTTTTTACTATTCAATCTTACCACAGACGAACTTGAATGCTTTTTATTCATCGTAATGAGAATTATTATTTATTACAATTTATTTTTATTAACAGTTTTAATTTGTCAGTACTTACAATAACATGACAAATTAAATAAGTAGGGAATATTTCATAGATACTTTATTTAATTGAACATAAAATTTGCTATTTTATTTAATTAATAGTTAGTTATAATTTTTAATATTTCCAATAAAACCGATTATGATCTGCTACACATTTAAAACTCGATCTTATGCTTTCAAACTAGTATTATTAAAATGATATTTTAATAACGTTGTACACATTTTGTATCAAACTGAACAACTATTAAAATATTTATTAACCTTTATACATATTGTAAAAATTTGTTTTATATATTTGTATTTTTACATTTTTAATAGTTCTCATATGCACAGTATATTTGAACACTGAGTTCTCACTTTGTTGTTATAATATGGAGACATATTGATAATGTGTTATATATATGTACTTCAACGCAGCTTATGTTATATTATGAAATAATTAAAAACCATACGCTTGTATTTCATCACTTATTTTTTCTTTCCTTAAACATTTATTTTAGTAATTGAGTAAGTCAATATAATATTTGTAGCGATGTTTGCTATTTAATTGTTTCTATAGTAAAGAAAATATAACTTGTCGTATGGATGTAAATCAATATTTGTTATTTTATCTTCGTTATGGAAATTTTGTTTCGCGGAACTAATGTAAATCAATTTTAATTGATATCTAAGAATGTCTTATAGATTATAAATCTTGTTAACATGAACAACTAAAGAAAAATTAGTGCTATGTGCTTTCTATACTGGTCACTTTGTGTTTGGAATTATAATTTATGTGTAAATATTAATTACGTTAAACTTATTAAACTAACCATAAATAATCTCCATACCTGTTCTATGATAGTTGCTTATTATTAATATGTTATCTCTTAATTAAGTTGTAATAGTTTACTGTTAACATTTTTATTATATCCACGTCTTACTAATAAAAATGTTCAATAGTCAAAAATTCAAATTAAATTATATTCATATTCAAATCAAATAAAACCCAATTATTTTTTTGGTATGTACCTATATAAATATTAATGGATGGTTTAGATAGCTTTTCATAAATATTAAAAAAACGAAACCTGTATTTGAAACAGACCTCGTATCATTTTAGTTGTTAAACTGGTCGAGTATTATATTAAATACATATTTTTTACTCTTAATTGCTTAAATTTATTAGTTGAGAAATTCTATGCACGTGTGCGTATATTGATTGTGTACTATATAGTTTTTTTATTTCTCTACGCCTTTATATATTTTATCGATATACTATTGGATTGTTAAGTCACAAACACCCTAAAACACCTTCAAATACAAACATATTTTGACGATTTTTCAAAGGACTTGGATAATCTAGGTTGTTTAAGCTTTTGCACGTGACTGTTTGTAAGAGTAAAGGCTATTCTTCTGCAAAATTATTAGGAGTCACTTCATTCGTCCATGCTTGGTGTTTTGCACACCAGCTGTTAACTACAATTTTTAATGAACTGACTAGAAAACAGACGTGTTGCTAGTCTTACCGAAAAATATCTGTGTCGCAACTCGCTTGAAATATTTGAGAATTCTTTGTACAATTTTTTTTTTTTGTTATTTTATTTTAATTGAAGCATTTTTTTTTTTACCAATTTAGGTTTTGCGGTGGTGTCGAGCTGTAGCACGGTGTCGTCGCCTTGGACGCCAGGTGGGGGTACAGCGGGCGGCAACCCGGACGGGCCGGACGGCGGCGGTAACGGTATGAGGAGCGCGGCGGGTGTGAACGCCGGCAGCAACCTCAGCCTGGACGTGGACGACTGCGACGATGACAAGGAACTGTCGGCGGCCGACGCGGAGGGCGTCTGGAGTCCAGACATAGAACAGAGCTTCCAGGAAGCACTGGCCATATACCCACCCTGCGGACGCCGCAAAATCATACTGTCCGACGAGGGCAAAATGTATGGTAAGTCACCGATTTTGTGTATTTTCCACCTGGTTGGAACCTCTGGTGCCGGTCGAGTTGCATGAATCCACAGTAAAGATTTAGGAAGTCAATATACATTTCCAAGTTCATTTTGTAGCCCGGACTTAGGTATGTGGTTAAAGTCCATAATAACTGTTGAGCGACAAACGAATTATCAATAAAATAAAAAACGTTGTGGGAAAAGGAAAAATAAACTGCCTGACATTTTCAATCATTTAAAAGTGTAAACTAAAATTTATATCGTGCAATTAATTGTTTGGATTTTTGTTACCTGGGTCGAGACTTTATTTATTATAGGGCCAACAGCTATGACCATTTATTAACAAAATGTAGCTCGTTTTACTAAATTAAATTTCAATTGTGTCAACTAAATACTAGAATAATTTGTATAAGCTTTTAAAAGTGTAATTTTTTCTACGAGTTCTAGTCATTTTGGTAGTAAAAATGTCTTATAAAGTTTACTAAAAAAAATGTATGCCATTACAAAACTCTTCGATGGGTAAAGTTAAATATCATCATTATTTTATTAGTATCAAAATTATAATACATATGTAAAATGATGTGTACATATAACTTTGTAATAACTACTAGATAATATCATTCATTGTGTTGATCATTCAGTGTTGGACAACCGTTAGAACGGTTTTTGTAAATGCCCAAATCCAAAATGTATATATTTATAGCCGGGTTTGCATACAAAACCGGTAAAAAGATGTATATTTTGAGAATTTAGCTTTTCTGAATAATTAAACATATTTAGTGAACGCGTTTCTTATTCTGGACACTATCTCATTTTGTATTTATTAGTTGGATTTATTATAGCTTCTATATAAAACTGCGGGCGTTATACAGTAAAACGATTAGCACTGGAATAAAACAAAATTGAAGAGCTATAGAGAAAGAAACAGCATATTTTTAAAACCTAAAATATGTTTTTACATTTATTAAATGTTGTTGTATACACACAAATTACGCTCGTGTATTTAATATTGGTTTATTTATTTATTTAGTCTTTTTTGTGTGTGTTAATGTGGTTAAATGTACTTGTTGGTTTCATCGCTCAAAAATAGAATCAACATTGGATGTACAAAGTATAAATGTTTGCTATTGCCGTGGAAAAAATGTATAGAAACGTTTGAGAACGTTGTTTTCACACATGCATAATAAATATTAACATATACAGTTTGTAAAACAATAATTTAAAAATCCTTCTGCGCCGCTAAAAGATTTCAGCAAGAAGATTTTGAATTGCATTATATAAACGCACACCTGTTATTATTTTCTTATACATTTCTCTTTTGTACCACCGCCAAACTTTTCGGACCCTCTTTTGGTAAATTTATTGCTAGCCCGTTAACATGGCGGCAATTCTGTAAATTTCTTCGACTCTCCAAAGCTTTTGTCTTCTGCGTAAGTTTACCACCCTTTTGTCTTGTCTCTAGTCAAAACTCATTTGGCCACCGAAAACTTAAAACCTTAAATAATGTCATTGCCACTCGACTGCGCGAAAAGATTTTTCACCCTCTCCGGCCATAGACCTCGATCGCCACCAGGCACCATAATAGAACGTTGTATACACTTTTATAGCGGTGTCTTTGCACCGATTAGGGTGTCTAGTAATAATAATAATAATAATAATAATAATTGTTCATGAAAATCCAACAAACAGATTCAATAAAAAAAAAGAATTGGGAGGGTTCCCTAACGCAGATGTTTGTTAAAAGGGGTCACGTGGAGGGTAGCCAAAAGTTTAACTTATGTATTCATCGGAGAGTGAAATTGCTGATACCACTAGATCGTCCCCGAATTTGGGGAGGGGGCCTTCACTTTAAACTGAATTTCATTATCCATCGGTGCGGAGCGCCTAAGTAAATTTGTTGGTAAATGTACAAAAAAAAATCATAGTTACAGACGTTTTACATGTCTCGTAATAAGTTTTTTTTTTTTTTGCTTGCTTTTGTCGGTTCTCGGTACCAACGTTATTCATGCCCGGTCGTGGAAAACTGTTAAAGCGATTTTTTAATTTCATATTTTTTTGTATATGCTATAGGTATATACTATTTATATATTTTGTTATATATATAGAGAGAGAGAGAGAGAGAGAGAAATTTAATAAACACATCGCAATAAATTTAATTTTGTGTTGATACGCTTGAAGTTCTCGGAATGGGTGTGTGCAGGGAACGGGAAAACCCTTGTTTGGTTGGCGGCAACAGGGGGGTAGGTCGAATGTTTCGCCGATTTGTGTGTAGGGAAAATGACCGTGCGCTTCCCGCAAGGACGGCGGTGTGGGGTAAGAGCTGCCGCTGTAAACTCTGGCTGGATAGAGCGGGTAGGTTATATACGGGTCAAAGGGGTTGTTTCGCTGCGTCGGCGAATGACAGCGATGAGGCCCCTAGCTGGGGCGGGTGAAGAACTATGTATACCTATATATACATGACTGTGTGTGTGTGTGTGTATGGTATATACTGTTGGAGTGAAAGAGAAAGGGATCTGCGCTTATAACGGATGAAAAGGATACGAGCGGGGGAGAAGAGGAGACGATGGACGCGAACTATGCCAAGAATGTGCAATTAGTGTGTATATACACACGGTCGTCGGGGTGCCGCTATAATTCACCCTTGACTTCGGCGAGCGCCTCGCTCGGAGTGTAATAAGAAATGAAAGAAAGACATAAGAGGCCATCTCGGTCGAGACCGCCACCGCCGCCGCTGCGCCTACTCCTTTAACCGCCCTTCCCTTCCCCTTTGCGTTCGCTTATAGAATCTTGAGCTTCACCGCCGCACCATTAACACCGTAATCTTCGCGTTCGCCTCTTTTTACTCTCATACACACACACACACAAAACTGTTTGAGCGATTTTCTGCTCTCGTTGCGGTATCACAACCACCTCTCTTTTATCCTATTGTGTATACCCTCGTCGGTGGCAAATAAAACTGCACCAAACCCCTGAAGTTACATCCCTGTATGAGCTGATTGCTTCATCCAGTATAACTTCAAATTTCGTCTTACTACTGGTCCTCGTCATTGTCTAAATGTCTACCACGTCCACGGCCCCCCTAATAGAACGCTAAGCTGATTGATTTAAACGATACTTTACACAAATGTATGCGACAGAGTACTCTTTCCCGAAACAAATTAATCTTTTACAACATAGAATACGCTACCGCTATCAGAATCAACGTGGAGTACAGGAAAATAAGGGTAACCAAAATTTTGTTATCATTTCCTTTTTTTCTTTTTAATTTTTAAATATTTCGCTAGACGATTTATTAACTTGTTGTTGTTGTAGCAGATTTGGCTATTTTCCTTAGATGAAATAAAATGTATTTTTCCGCATTCCTCGAGTTTATATTTAATTAATAAAATAATAAGCAGTCGTTCGATCAACAAAGAGATTGGACGGACGGCGGTATGGTATTTTGGACCTCAACCACCGCCAATACACATGTCGACGCTTACAGTATATTATAAACAATGGTAATCCCACGATACTCTCTTTTATTTTTCATATTAATATATTTTTTTTGTCCCTCGCTCGCCCTAAATATTTTGCAATATAAATGCTCGAGATGTTTTTTATTTGTATTATTAAAGTACCACTTTAATAAACGATATTATATGTCTCGGGAAAAGCAGGACCCCATGTACCGCAACGCCTATGTACGCTTTTGTTTCTACCCCTAAAAAAAAAATGTAATAATAATAAACAACCTTCCGGTGATGATTTCTCCGTGGTCGTGTTTTTGTTGAAAAAACAAATATTAAATAATAAGAACTACCAGATATCATTTCGTTTTGTTTTTCTTCTCCGGAAAAGATATATTTATATAATATATATCAACAAGTACGCCTTTTTTTTTTTTCGTTGTATACAAATAAATTATTTTTATATATTTGGGAACGATGAAAACATTGATATTTTCTGCGAATACAATTATTATTTTAGCCCCTAAAGGAGTTGTGCAAAAAACAAATTATTATTTTAACGATATCGCCGTTACGTATCGATAACATTTATCAACAGCCTCAGATTATTGTAACGAGTGGTTTCCGGTTGTAAAAAAAGTCTACTAGGTACCAGCGAAAACTGCCTAATAAAAATATAATATCTAATATTAGTCACTGGCCGTAATGATAGCATTTAAAAAACTTTCAAAAACAAAATAAATTATTATTTGCATTTTTTCCTCGTTTCAACCGGAATTCAATTTATTTACTTAAATGTAATAGAATAATAATGCCTTTAGGGCATAGTGTTTTAATTATATTAATACATAAACTGAACCCAAATAGATAACACAATTAATGCATTCAATGCAAAAAACAAATTATTTTGTTATCTTAACATAACAAAAATTGTGCACTTTTTTACAATTCATCTTGAAATTAAATTATATTTTTTAAAAGCCTTTATTCGTGATAAACGTGTGATGTCCATTATGCGTTAATATTTAATGACAATTTTAGCAATATATGGGAATACGAAATAGCTATTAAAGGGCAAAGGATAGGCAATATTTAACAATAATTGATGTAGCCATTTTAGGTATACCGACTGATTTTATGGTGAAAAATAAAGTTTTTTTATTTATAAAACTTTTAAAGTTATTTTTCTTTGAATTGTAGCGAAAGTTTAATATAAAAAAAAATGTCAATTTTCATTCCATTATGCGATTTTGATAATGAGAACTGTTTTGAACATCTTAGTACTCGTATACTTTGGATCCTATAAACAACTTTTTCCATTTATGAATCTGAAGAAGCGTAATAATCTGTTAAATAACTTTAAAGAAACATTTTTAAAATCAAATGTTGACAAGCGTAGTAAGTCCAAAATTGTTAAAAGTTGTTTGTAGGGTCTTAAGAAGTCAAGATGAGGAATCCAAACCGGCTTTAAAAATCCTTATCTTGGAATGAAAATAAGCCTTTTTAGCATGAAAAACGGTTAAGTTTGGAATCTCCTTAGGTTATAATATATAATAAAATATGCATATACAATAAGTTTGTATAATACATATTTTGTGTATGTATTACAGTAAGAAATTTTCACGATGGTTATTCAAACGGTATATATAATATTTGAGCTAATAGATCCAATCTATTAATTTTTTTTTTCACCGCCAATTAAAAATATTCAGACGGCATCTTCGTGATAACATCAGTAGTTTGACTAAAATCTAATCAGTAGTTGTATTAAAATCGAAAATGCCGTTTGTAAATTATAACCAATAACTAATAAAAATGTAATTATTGGCGACGGCTGCTAAGCGCGTTGTTGCTATATCCAGACGACGATAACAACCGTTTTATCATCGTCTCGGAGATTATGTCGTTTACACTTCGTTTACTGGTTTAAGGTCGGTCGAATGCACTGTAAATAAAGCAAACATAATATTATTATGTATGTTTATTTTCTACTCGGCCGACCTTCTTCTCTATACTGTGTATACATCGCCGTCGTCGTCGTAGTAATAATATAGTTGAGGTGTGCCTGGGTTAGCGGTTTTCAGTGCTCATAACGCGCTTTCATTTACATAAATAATATTGAGAGACATCAACTCTGTCGTACAAACATTACACTCGACAGAAAAAAAAAACAAAAACAAAATCATCCGTACCGTTTCCGAGGGGAGGGGGGGCATTTTGGAAATAAAGGGCAGAAGACACCGTGTGTGTGTGTGTGTGTGTGTGTGTGTGTGAAACGAAGCACTGTACTGAAGTATATATAATGTGTTTTTATTGTACAGCCATACAGGAGGTACACTTGCACGCGCTCGCACACACTCTTTAGCAGTCGCTGCCGGAACGTTCACCTTTCGGTTAACGGTGGCGGAGTCGACCATATTATTATATTTATTATAATGGCTACGACGGTCGACGACGACCGTGATGATGATGCGATGACGTGTACCACCGTTTTTGTAGTAGTACTAGTCTAGTAATATAATAATGATAATAATAACCGCGCGCGTATGTACTTACTATTGAAAACTCGGTCTGTGCACGCTGGACGGCAGCCGGGGCGGTTATGTAATAATAACGAGTAAAATGGTAAAAAAAAAATATATATATATATATATATAATGCAAGAACGATGACACACAGAGTGTATGTATTGTGTCAACCCGTAAACCGCCGTGACCGCCTCTCTAGTACACGCGGGATGTACCTCTGGATACCTGTGTGTCCCACGCAGCAGCAATAGATGAGAAATACACAGACTTTGGTTGTGTTTTTTCCACAGTGCACTACCGTGGTGTACAGCAGCTGATACAGTCTCTGTGTCTAATGTATTCCATTTTTATAATTACGGATCGTTGCGGCGGCCGTTTCGCGTTTTTACTTTCGGTTTGACCCGATTTTCCGCGTTGCCTTAACCGCACATAGAGATCTTAAATCGCGATTTGCTCTTGTAACGTGTAATGCATTAGCAGCGCTAACCACACTCGGTTTTTTTCCTCGGATAATTTAAACGAATCCGCCGAGAGTTCGCTCAAAAACGGACCTAGAACGCGGATCCTCGTTAAGTCACACGTATATGAGTAAAAGTGGTGCGGATAGGTAACATAAAAACAACGTTGACAAAAAAAAAACACCCCCTTTTTCATACTTACATTTTGGTCTCCATAATTTTTTCGACGTACATATTATATTATATTTAAAGCCTTTCGTTGTAATCTGATACTTAATAGTGTTGTTACCAACTGTCGGCACACGTCTTAACTTGTCGATACACGATTTTGAGCGTACTTATAAGTGTCCCGGATGCGGTGGAATGAGCAATCAAAGTATCAATGGCACGAAAATCAATAAGTATCAGTTGCGTTAAATGTATTCGTTACACAGGGACGTATGCGCTGTGTGTTCTTTCATAAAGGGTTGAGGTTAATATTATTTATTTAATCTATTGGGTAAGCGTTTAACAAATAAATTTCCTCTCTTCTTAAATCGAATTATATGTTACAATACGGGTTGGATCGCTGAATACTCTAATAATAATACTGTTCTGTTGTATAAACTAATAATAATAATTAATAATCAAACAATTGAATCTCATAATGGAAACAAATAAAATATCAGTCCTCCTCTTATCTCTCTTTTATACTTGCTGGTGGACGTAGTAATTTACATTATAAATGTTTTTTCAAAGATTATATTATACGTTTAAAGTTTATAAGTAACCAATGTATTAATGTAGTCACAATGTCTATATCTGATAATGTTACAATTAAACGTTTTTGTTGTAAGACGCAAGTTTTTTTAGCGTTTCGTTGCGGTTGCTTCGGTATAGTAGTATACTATTATAATATAATGATAGTATTTATATAGTGACAAAATATTGGGTAATTTGTTTTTAACTTTGATATCATTATGATAATTAAACGGCGATATGGTCCAGCACTCGGCATCGAAGACGTATAATGTCTGTACTATTGCTATCGATTAAATCGTTCGGGTTTATCTCTTCTAATTAATAATAACACAATTATACATCATTTTATCGTAATGACAGTAATTTCGTTTTATTATTATTATTTGCCTTTTTTTGCGGTTGTGACGAAACGCCCCAATGTGTTGCAACGTTATATGTACTATATATATATTCATGTACGCAATAGCCAACGTATAGAGTATGATCAAATCAGATTGGGGCTTGCAATTATTAGAATTGGCCAGTGATCGGTTTGTAGTGCATGACCCTTAAGCATAGGGCAAAATATGCTGCATTAAATAAACAAACGAACAATAGTAAAAAATATGTTCGCCAGATTTTTTGAGATTTGAGACTGGTGGTCTGACCATCTGGATCGATTATGTGCATATTTTTGGCTAGCTAAACCGGGCAAGAGTTTATACTTGAGTTAGTATGTACTATTATATTTGTACACGACTAGTCCGTCAAGCATTTTCGATGTTGGTAGAAAATTAATTTTGTTTCCAAAAATCCAAACAGATGGTATGTAACTGGTGCTCGAAAAAAACGTGTTCATGGAACTCGTTCAAAATTTCGGAACGTATGCGAAACAAAATATATTTTTTGTGTAAAGGAACAAAACTAGAATGTCGTTTAATTTGTATGGAACGAACCCCTTCTTTTTTTAAAAAAAATCCTTAAATCGGTTTTAAAACTAGCTAAAAAAAAAAAAAAAGGAAATCATCATAAAGTCGCTTCTCCCTCCTCAGAAAAACGATGGATTTCATAAAGCCTGACCCAGTCGAGTCTGTAAAAACAATATTTTTGGGTGGTAAATACTGAACAACAGTTTCTAGGCTTAAACATCATAATCAACCCAGTTATATTTTCATTGGGTTTGAGTTCAAACACGATTTCGAAGTAGTAAAAATACCGTATCTAATAGTTGTGGTCGGTTTTTTGTGTTTACAGGACGTAACGAACTGATAGCCAGATACATAAAACTGCGGACTGGCAAGACACGGACGCGGAAACAAGTCAGCTCTCACATTCAAGTGTTGGCTCGTCGGAAGTTGCGCGAGATACAAGCCAAACTCAAAGTGGTGAGTGTCCCTCTCCTGTACCACCACCGCCCACATAGTCCGTTTCCTATTCCTTACCTCTGCCCCCATACACGTTGTCGTTGTGTTGGTTATTAATTTTTTTCGAGCTGCCCCGACGGCTCTTTGTATTTCCGCAAAAACCGTTTAACAAACGGTTTTAGCTTTTTTCTTTTTAGTTTTTTTTTTCTCTTCTTGATTTTCTACCCGTATACTACTATTACCATTACTGTTACTGCTGTTGTACAAGTGTGTGTTAGAGGTAGAGTGTAACGTGTGTTGTGGGGCTGTAGGTGGTGCCCACCGAGCACGCGGCCAAGGAGAAAGCGTTGCAGACCATGTCGGCCATGTCCAGCGCTCAGATCGTGTCGGCCTCAGCTACCGTCGCAGCCATACACACCAAAGGACTGGCCAGCCTGGCTTCTTATCCGCCCGGCGCGCCGCCCCCGCCGGTGAGTATACCAAAACGCTACACGACGCTCCCAACGCACGCTACCTCTTAACTTTTTACTTTTTTTTTCTTAAATAATAATAGTTAAATATTGTTTACATTATTCTATACGCAATGGCCTCGTCGTCGCTTTTTCTACTTGTGTGCTGTATCGACATATACCTTATAAATTATATACACACAAAATATAGAGAGATGGGTAGGTATTTCAATTGAAAATCGGTGAGTACCGCCGAGAAAGGGATAGGTGATTTTTACACGGGAACAAAATGAAAAATGATTTTTTTCAATGTCTCTTCTCGCGAACGATTGCCACTAGTTCATTGGCAAATTGTTGATTATCAAAAGCTCAAAAAATTGTCACCAGTACTCGTCGTGGCTCACCACTTCAATTGGAGTATTTAAAAATACATTTTGTATTGTTTGTTTAAAATTAAAATAATCATGGTATACTGTAGATAGTTGAGAGCTTTTCAATATCCGCTACGGAGCTTTTACCCGGCGACGACTACTATCGTGAGTGTGTGTGAACTGTGATTGAACTAGTGTTTTTTTTTTTTCTGTTACAGTTCTGGCAGCCGGGACTGCAACCGGGCACGTCGCAAGAGTAAGTATAACACAGCGTGGTATTTTTTTACTAAGAAAACATTTCGCTAACCTTCTGGATGTTTGTGTTGACAGTGTCAAACCGTTCGCCCAAGGATATCCGGCTGGCGGCGGCGGTGGTGGTGCTGGGTCGACCGGTCTTAAGCCACCTCCGTCCACGACAGTGTCGTCGGAAATCCAACCGCCCAGCGTGCCACCTTGGGACGGCCGAGCCATAGCCACTCACAAGTTGCGCCTGGTAGAGTTTTCCGCGTTCATGGAACACCAACGCGAACCCGAAATCGTAAGCGTGAAAAATAATAAATAATTTAAGACAACTAGTAGCGTTTGTAGCGTCACTTGTTTGTCGACGTATCTGAATAGTTTCTAGACAAGAAAAGTGTGAACTAATTTGTAATAATAGAGGCCTTGGTATTGCACTTAAATGCCATCGAAATCTAATGAAAGATTATTTAACTCTTAGGTAATACCTTCTGAATATATATTAATTTGCTAGCTGGTATTACTAATTGTACGATAATAATCTTAGAATGCACTAATGAAGCAACTTAAGTTACCTTGCTAAATTGTTTTTTTTTTTTACAGTACCAAAAGCATTTATTTGTACACATCGGAGGACCCGTCGGCTATTCCGATCCTCTGCTAGAAGTAAGTAGTACTGTTCCTCAACTACAACACCACTGTGAAATGAAATTGTTGTTCCTAATTTGTCGGCGTTTTTTTTTTTGTTATAGTCTGTGGATGTTAGGCAGATCTACGATAAATTTCCAGAGAAAAAAGGTGGTCTGAAGGAATTGTACGACAAAGGCCCTCAAAACGCATTCTTCCTCGTCAAATTCTGGGCTGATCTCAATTCAAACATTCACGATGAAGCTGGTGCCTTTTACGGCGTCACTAGCCAGTAAGTTAATAGTCATGATTTGTAAACGAGGCATAGGAGTTATGGACTTGTCTCATTTTGAGTTATTTTTTAAAAAAAATACGTTTTATAGGTACGAGAGTTCTGAAAACATGACCATAACATGTTCGACCAAAGTATGCTCGTTTGGTAAACAAGTTGTAGAAAAGGTTGAGACGGAATATGCTCGGTTTGAGAACGGGCGGTTTGTTTACCGCATACACAGGTCGCCCATGTGCGAATACATGATTAATTTCATACACAAGCTCAAACATTTGCCCGAAAAATACATGATGAACTCTGTGCTGGAAAACTTCACTATACTACAAGTAATGGATGAGTCATTTTGTTGTCTACTCAGAATAGTTATATTTTCAATTGTTATTTTTTTTCTTCATAGGTGGTTACCAACCGAGAGACCCAAGAGACTTTACTTTGCATCGCTTACGTCTTCGAAGTGTCTACGTCTGAACATGGCGCACAACATCATATGTATAGACTCGTCAAAGACTAAATATTGTATAATATTTTACTGTCGGTCGCGTCGAATGACGGTGCTCGGTTTCAGTCGATCCTTCTTGTTCGTCAAACGACCTATCAATTAACAAAGTTTAATACTAGTAGTTTTTGACATCTGAATACCAAAAACAAATACTATTATTGCACATAGGTAATGTTTACCTAGAAATAATATTAACCATTTCCCCCTTTAAGTTATGCAATCTGACATACGTTCTTATATGTATTGGACATCATTATTGATTATTATTATTATTATTATTGTGTATTATTTTTACTTTACTTTATCGCCTTTTTGATTTTTACCAATTTTTGTTTTACATTAGTTTTATTTTTTTTTTTATAAATTATAAAATGAAACATTTTATTTGATCTTATATAATTATTATTATTATAGAGTAGTAGATGGTAGTGCATTAAATCCAAACAGACCAGGACATCATTAAGTATAAACAAGAGGCTAGGTTTTTTAACATTTAAAATAAAATAAAATTATTTTTTCTTTAAAAACTAGGTCGACTGAATCCTGTTGCAATTGGTTATATATGTATATACAATTATAATTGTAATTTTTAATTATGTAGATTAATTTGTATATAATAAAAATATATTATATTATTTTTAAAACTTAAAATAAAACGAAAAGAAATATGTAAAACATTTTAACATTTAACGTTTGTAGAAAATTTATATTTATGTAGTTTAACTTTTTTTTTTTTTGTCGTTTTGTTCCCGATATATATTTTTTAGTTTTATTTCACTGTAAAATTATATTATACTTAGAAATGATTTCATTTGATCTCTGGAATTTTTCTCAAACAGTCGGTTTGAAATTGACTACAATATAATAATAACAAAAATAACAATAATACCATTACTTGTTTTATTTTTTTTCAAATTTTATTTAGAAACGGACGTTTGAGGTATATTTTTATTTTATTTATATTTTTTTCTTTTTGATATGATTGATAATATTTATAAAAGCATACAACTTTACCATCATTTACTTACTTGGGTACTATAAAAATAATTTTATTAAATTGTTACCAATCCGAAATTTCTTCTCAATATATTATTGTATAAACTATGAAGTCCAGTGAAAGCAAATTGAAAATTTCTACTTAACATCAAATCAATATTTACATAATAAATAGATGTATAGATTTAATGTATATGAATTCAGTTCTATGTTACATTGTCATAATAGAATTATTACTGGTTTACTGTTGACAGCTATTATCAGTATTCTTGATGATTTATTTAAGCATATTATTTTATGTTAATGTGCAATGTTATAAACGTTTTAATAATATTATTTTGTATATTTTATATTTTATTTATATATTTTAATTTTAAGTTGAACCTTTTTTTTTCGAACATCGATTCTTTTGTCTCAAAAAAATTGCAAATAATTTTTTTTTGTGTTCATATAGTCAAAATGTGTGTGGTGTACAAACGTCTCCTGAATTGCCTTTGTACACTTTTTTTTTGAAATGAATAAAAAAATTATTTATTTTTTTGATAGCCTCGTCTTGATTACCTGTAACCTTTATCTATCTTGCTCAATCAAAACTACATTACTACTTTCTTATAATAAATGTAAATTTTAACAATTATTCGTCCATTGGACCTCGATCAATTATTGAATAATATTTCATGTCTTTTGAAATTCAGTAAATTCTCTCCTCAAAAACCAAAAAGTATAAATATTTTCTGATTTTCTTTTGTTTTATAAGACATGATATTAAAAACGATCATTATTAAAAATATTTATCAAATCTTGTTATCTTTGCAAAGATTGTAGCTAATGATTTCAGTCATATTGTAGTCAAATGTTCAAAAAAAATGTAACAACCCAGGCTCTTTTTTACCTGAATATTTAAGACTTGTTGCACAAATTGTTTCATGAAGTTGTTTACATAACTTCCTTCAGCTGTTGCTTGAATGAAATTATTTTAACCGCTTTAATACTTACACTTAATATACAAACAAATGTTTGTTGAACTGATGTGGTAAACCTACCATTAGAATTTGAAAAAAACATATATTGAATTTTCTGGCCTATGATATATTTCTGAAGTTTAACCTCACAGTGTTTAATAAAAGTATTTCTCAGACTCCGAAATGCAAATAATATCAAATACATTTTACCAATTTACCCAAATTGAGTGATTGTCATGCACCTGTTACGGTACAATGCGGTGAGTGCGATATATTATTACTCTATGGCATGCACTAAGCGGATAGGGCCACCCGCCTACCTGGATACAGGGAAAATCTATTTTCAAAAGACCTTTTCTCTGTTAAATGTTTTTATTTTTATTTTAATTATCAGCTACTGAATGTGTGAAAATATACACACGTCATACCTACTAACATTGATTATGCTCAATGCTACTAATAGATAATAATTTTAAATATTTCCCTTGATTCAAAACAAATAGAATGATAAAGAAAAACTGAAAATAACAATAGCAAATAACATTTTATATTTTTTAACATATTTTTGAAAATGTACGTTTACAGAAATTACACTTTTTATATTTATTTCAATATTGATTACTTTTTTTGAGACTCGACAAAACAAATTACATTTTTTTATTTAAATTTAGATTTAAAAAAATGTATTATACATGGTATGTGCATAATAAAAGTATTTCAAAGAAATACATAAATTATGGTGTGACTATAAAACGAAGTCTCCCATGAGTTGGTCATGTGTACTTATAAGTATAGTTTTGGCTCGATTTTTATGTATTTTCCTAGTAACAAAATATTTCGCCTATCCGCTTGTATCAACTAATTCTCTTTACTTCAGAAAACTTAGTTCTTCTAACATTCTGTCAAAAACTTTTATTCAAGGAATTAAACGTAGGAATCAGTTCAGTAGTTACTAGTTATCAAACGATTTTAATTTTACAATGGTTAAGAAAATTTATAGTTTAAAGGAATGGTGATTAAAATCGAGACTTTCAAATAGGCTAAACAATTATTCTAAAAATTAGCTGATGTTATTGGAAATAATACTATGGTAACTATCGAGGAAGCTGGTAATTATACATTTTTAAGATTTTTTAAACTTAACAAAATGAACAAAACATCAATAAAAAATATATAGAACTTAAATTTAGATTTGACTGCTGTGATTGGCTTCATCGCTATCACTTGCTTCCAATACACGCCGAATAAGATCATCATTCTTTTGGTTTTCCAGGCTATCCATGCTGCATTGTGACATCTCAGATTCTGTACTAGAGCTCGAGTCGCTTAAGTCAGATAAAGCTGTCAATGCGCTAGGTTCAGATTTTAGGTTTTGTAGCGTGGTTTTAGTTTTTTCAATTCCGCCAATTTTTCTTCCTAAAACAAAATGTTTACATCACAACAGTATTATCAAAGGTGAAAAAAATTAAGAATATTTCTATTACTTTTTCTCAAATGTTTTGTATTCTCTTTACGACTGCAGCTGGCCGATGTTTCTGTTTGTAATTGTGCTGTAGTAATCATGTCTTCGAGTACATCTTCATTTTTGCCCGGGAAAGCTACATTTTTTTTATTTTTATACCGTTTAATTTTAGAACATAATTCTAAGTCATCTTCTTTAACTGTAGTATTACATTTTTTTGAGACTTTAATAGCCTCTAGTGAACGAGTAAGATCAGACTTGTATTCGTGTATTGTTTCAGTACCTAAAACCAATTGTTCCAATTTTTTTATGTATGATGACTCAGTACGTAATTGGCTTTCCATCAATTGTAGTTTCCCAAAATCTAACTCTGCACGCTCTTCGTACTCAAGATTAAAATACTTTTCAGCAGTTCGTCCCATTAATTTTCTCACAGACTTTCTTGGGTAACTAGCCTAGAAAAATATTTAAATTGTTACTTTAATGTTACGACTTTGTTTAAATTTTAAAAAGTTGGATTATTATTTACTTCTAAGCAAGGACTTATAGTGCTGACTGTTATTGTTATTTTTCGTTTGTAATCAAGTTCGTAAAAGCAAAAGGCAGGGTACAATAATCCTTCATTTGTACATTGTTTGACTAATTCTATTGTTGCTTTATAATCAATGGGTTTCATTTTCACGTTTAGTTGGTATTGTTTTAATGGCTGTGTTTTGTATATTGTGTACAACAGATATACGGCTCCAATGCGTACGTCTTTACATTTTGATCGTAAAAATTTCGATGCAGCAGCCAATGATTCTTGAGCTATCATGATGTAATGATGTGGTGAAATAAATAGATTTTTTTGGTTACCTTTACGTTTAGCATATATATGATGAAAATTTGTAGAAATAAATGTGTTCAAAAATGAAGAATACGTCAGTACTCGACTTTTAACAAAGGTGTCCAATACGTTAAAGCAATCAATGAATAAGTTTGAATAACATAAATGTAATTCCTTTGATATTTTTGCCGTGTTATCTATTTTGCCTTTAATTGGAATTATAGGTATGTCTTCGTCACTACTAGAGTCATTTCCACTTGATTCCGTGTATTCAAACTCAGACATTTTAGCGTTTTACAAACCTACTGTGACGGGTACATTTGGTTCGTTACACTGCAATGAAATTTAAAAAAAAAATGTATGCATTTATTTTCTAGTCCAGTTTTAAAATTAGTTAAAAACTTTTTATGAAAAAGAATGTGTGTAAATTGATAGTATTTTACTTTACAGTTTACCAAATGTTTTTTTTATTATAAAAATCCGTTAGTTCAATGAATTTACTAGTGTGAAGATCCAGAATTACTAATAACAAAGTCGAATATTTCGTATTTCAATTTTAGGGTTTCCTTTCTTAAATGTTAATAGAGCGAACACTGAAGTGAGAAGTCTAAACAGCATTGTCAATACTAAATAAATTATTTTAAACAATATTTTCGTTTTTTTTAACTGACAACTGTTATCACGTCTTATCGTTGGTACGTTACAGTTACTTACGAATAAATAATAACCACGGCCTTAGAAGATATATTCTATTATGAATATTATTTAATATGAATAGAATAATTGGACAATTACAAAAAATAATGATATTTTTGTTCGTGTTTAATGATTTTTAATTTATTTTACAATTTAGCATAGATAAAAAATATAGTCCGTGATAATAGATTAGCTTATCATGGGGAAATGAACAAGATAAGGACCTCTATCTTTATATATTATGCAATTTTTCAATAAATTAAGCTAAAATTTGTTAACTCTTACAATAATACAGCAAAAGGGCATCTATTTTGATATTTCAACTTTTGTAAACCTTATAGGCCTTATTTTTGCTTAAAAACATGTTTCCAATAAACATACTGTTCCTAAGAATACACTCATATGTACATTTTGCAAAAACATTTAAATTCTTCGTACTCTTGTTTTGAAAAACTGCAATTATTGTTTATTTAAATAATTTGTACAATAAAATTAAAATTTTAGTTGGATTGATGCATTAGGCTAGTATGTATATTATTTGTTTTCAGAACTTTTGTCAGATTACACGTTGCAGATTTAGGTTAAAATTCGGAGTTAGTTTCCACAATACATAGACTGTAGAGGCCCTTTAATAAATAATTAAAAATATTAATTAAATATTATAATAATATCCTGATATTTATACTTTTTTTATATATATATATAGTAAAATTCATTAGTTTTATTTTGTATTATTGTTTAAAAAAAATACTATTTGTTCTAATTCAAAACTTCATATGATATCAACATTTAATGATATAAAAAAGTTGGCAAACAAAATATTAATTACAATGATATTTAGAATGTACATTAGTGTAAATGAAAACAATTAAATGAGTTAAAATAAACCTTCATGTTTTTTTATTACTGGAATATTTTATTTAAAATAATTATGTATATTTATTTCTATGTATATAATTTAAAAATATACATATTTTTACAAAATATATAATACGCAGTGTATAAATGTCATAATAATAATCTGTAACTCATTGGAAATTATATGTAACAGCCGAATTATTCATTGAGTGGTTATTGTAGTATTAATATCCACCATATTTTTCCTGTAAAAAAAATATATATATAATAATACAACTGAAAAATCCTTTTTTTTTAAATTTATAATTATTGTAATTGATACAATTTTTAATACAAAGAGTCTTAAAACTTTAAGGTAATACACCTCCAACTTGGTTCACAATTATAAATCAACAAACAATAAAGTTATACCTGGAAAGAAGACATCACACCATTAGCTAAAGATGACAATTTCCCAGCTACTTTTGTAACTCCTTGTTTAACGCTTTCTTTAACTTCATCTAAATCTGGTGTTTGATAAGATGAATCTATTCCTGTTGTTTCTTCTCTGCCGAATAATTGAGCTGATGAAATACTATTGCTCCCTTCAAAACGTGACAAATTTGAACTCTCGGTCTAAAATTGAAATTTTTAATTACAATGTATGCATTTGAAGTTAAATAATTTTTTAGTCAGTAATGATGACTTACTGAAGTTTGACTGTTGCCGAAATATTGGGCAGAAGATATTGATTTAGCTCCACCAAACTTTTTTGAGGCTTCATTGTTTTCTGTAGGAGTAGAAGCAGGAGCCGCATTTCTCATCCTATTGTTTCTACTAGTTCTCCTTCCGGATGATTCAGTATTGTCCCAACTATCAACCTCTGGTTCTTTGGTAACTTTTTTTGCCGGTTTAACATTGTCCCAATCGTTTTTAATAACATAAACTTTGGGTGCTGTTGTAGTAGTTTTTGCACTTCTTTTAAAATCGTCAAAGTCAAAAAAGTTATCATTCGAAAGCTGATGATTTCTGTAGGCATAATTAATATAATTACTAAGTAAAAAACATTGTTACTGTAGGGGGGTCCATACTTGCTGATCATTTGTAACACTTCTGCTTTTGCTTCTTCAAAACAATCGTAAAATTTATCTTCATTAGTAATTGCGTCTAATGACGTCTGTTTTTTTTCTTCTTTATCTAATGTCATCATATCATTTAAGGCCGAATGGCTAACGACACTGTTTGGAAATATATTTATTATTAGCCATATATTTTTAAGTTTGCTTAGAATTGCTCTTACTTTTTTGATGTACTTCCCATGCCCAATCGTTCAAGTTGGGCCGCTTTTTTAGGATCAATCTGTTTTAGTTTTTCTTCTTCTTTATTTTTTTTAATACTCAAATCTTGATAAGCCAGTCGCATTGACGACATCTATCGATCATAAATATATTTAAATTAATAGATATTAGGTATAATCATAATATAAAATTAATATTTAATTTTATACCTGAGTTTCTTGATCTTCATCGTTCACTTTTTCCACAATTTCTGTTTTTTTAGGTTTGTTAAATTTTAGTTTGTCTGCCATTTCAGCTTCTTTCTCAATGTCAGCAAAATTGGCATGGATTTTTTGACCACCTAATCCTAATCGTTTACCTCCTAACTAAAATAAAATAAAAAACAATAAATATAAATATTTTTTTTTAACAAAGAAATTTAGTATTTTACTATTAACATAATTTAAATATAGGCTATTTAGTTTTTTCAAAATTAAAATACTTACACCAGATTTTTTACTATGTGCTTGTCGGCCCCCTAACAAAGACTTCTGATCAATTGACTTTTGCTCAACATTAGAAAGAACTTTGGGTTCTCTCATATGTGATACATCTCCATTATTCTGTTAACACAATTATAAATATAAAAGACCATGAAATTTTAACTGAGTTTCAAGTAACACAAATTATTACTTGTTTTTCATCCAAAAAGGGTACAAACTTGTCACCAAAAGTATTATCTGTATTGAATGAAGCAACCTTAGCACTAGTAGTATGTTGTTCAAAGAAATCAACATGCTTGGGTTCAACTGTCTCGTGGATATGTGATTGGTCCAAAAACAGCTAAATAAAAAGATTCATACTTTAGAGACAGATAAATGACTTAAAATTTGAAAAATAATATGAATTTATTTATAGTACTAAGTTTTACATACTTTAGTTCCATGAACTTTCATTGCCTGTCTAGCACTTTGCAATAATTTATCTCTATATAATTGAGCAGCTCTAGAATTATACTTTTGTTGGGCATCTTTAGACATACAGTTATGTTGTCTAAAGAATGAAGTCTGAAAATATACAATGTAGCTAATTGTAATTGTAATTATAAATTATTATTATTATTATTGTTGTTATTGGAACTTAACTTGCAATTATTTAATTTAAATTAAAACATCTTATAAAATATTATACTCACAGCATTTACGTTGCCACCTAGTTGCATTTGTCTTAGTTGAAGCCATGTCCAATTTGTATCCAGCTGTGTTGATCTAACAAACGTCAAATGAACACCCATACTCCTATGTACAGCAGAACAATCTAAGCAAATAAACACACCATACGTGATGCTGGACCATGTTGGATTTTTGGCATCACAGTCAAAGCAAGTCTAGAAAATAAAGCCAGGAGTTAGGCAATATTGAATTTTGTTTCAAACCATATTGATTACAAAGTCGTAATTGAAAAATTTGCTTCCGGAAGTATCACTTCTACAGCTCCCCTTGTTGGCTATGTCTAATGTGTTTAGCGCCAATCATACTAAGTTGAATTCAACTTTAGCATAAAATCTTAAGTGCACTGGCTACTGCGTACCCGTTATTTCCTGTCTCTGTCTGTCCAAATCACAACACTGGAATTTTTACCTACATGTTTTTGTTTGTACCTACTAATATGTTAAGGAATCTGAAAACAAATTAGAATTCCTCAACTAAACATTTCTAGAAGATGACTTCCTCCTTTTTCCTTTTGTTTTTTATTTAAGTTTGTTTATTTTTAATAAAATTGATTACCGAACAATTTAAAGTCTAAAATTTAAAGAGTAGAAAAGCTTCTGCTTGAAGAGAATCTGAGGAATTTAAATCTGTTATCAGATTCCTTAGTGCAACAGTAGATCGATCAATAAGTTTGACCAAAAAAAAATATTAACTCATATGCTGTGGCACAAAGTTTCTTTTCCAAACCTTTATCAGATTATGGCCACCCAATAAAGATATATCTTTGTCAACCTCTAAATGATTTTTTAATATGCCAATAAGTTTAAATTTGTTACTTAGTGCACCTAGAATGGACTTGCCCTCCTAAAATATAAGCCTAATTGAATAGGAATTATAGGTTTCTTGTCTCTTAATTTGGTGAATATTATTTATTAAAACATTGTTTTTTTTTTTACCTTATTTCCTGGCATGGCTCTGAGCCTTTGGAATGCCAACTCTATATCTTCACTAGTGACTTTCGTTTCAGACATACTGACCTTCTGGTTAAAAAATCAACGAAAACAAGACAAAAATCGCTCAAAGCAACAAAGAATAGAGAGGTACACACGGCTCTTTCGAAATTTTGATTGGAAAATTGTACTTAAAAAATGGTAAAAAATGAATGCCGATATATAGCGAAGAATTATTAAGAACTATATAATAATGGGTAAACTATTCGTAAAACTTAAAAATTAATTAACAAGGCAATACACATTTTGCAGTAGGCAGTATGCTATTGTTGATAAGAAAATACCCCGTCAATTGCATGACACAAGATGACGTTGACCATAATGATGTCATCGAAAATTATATACTAGGAAATTTTATTTTATGCCGGTGGTCCACCTGCTCCCATTCAATATCTATATTCTATAATATACGGATATCTATGTTTTGAACTCCTATCATTCTTATCTGAAGTCGGCAAATTTTGAAAATAAAACCATTTGTTTTGAAACAATACCTGCTTAACATTGTTCATTGCACAACTAATGAAATTTAAAATGTATCTTCTTTTCGGGTTTTCTCGGTCAAAAATTGTTTTCTAAGTTTAAAAATCAAATATGAATTTGGAAACCTGCAAATAATTTTTAAAAACGTGAGTGTAAAACTATGCAAATAACGTGTGTTGGTTGGTTTGTGTAAAACACTTAGAATTTAAAAAAAATTCTCTCAATCACAGACATACACAACACATTTTATCTACCTATTATTAATACAGAAGAATGACTTTTGAAAATTGCATTTTGAACTATGTATATTGGATAATTTTGTAGACGCAGTAAGCTCATTTTTGTTTATAGGACTATTTGGTATAGAGATAAACCATAATGTAGAATTCTGTTTAGTTACACATTTCATAATTTTATTTGTTTAAAGAAGCTTCTTTGTCTTGACGAGGTACAGTTTAAATTATACATTTATAATTACGGCTTACACTTTAATAACTAAGTTATTTCTTATAGTAGGAACATCATAAATTTAGCAATAAATTAATAAGTCATCCTTTTTTCAGGGAAATGTCATTTTATAAACACATTGGTTTCAATTTAAGCTATATTGGTAGGTGTTTTCAATTGGCAAGATACAAATATACAAGTTGTAAATTCTATGGAAGAAGTAACCCACTGAAGCTAACATTTCCATGTCAACATGTGTATAGGAGATATTGTTTTCAGTCTTTTAAAGATGATAGTGATAGTGATACCGAAGAAGTTGAATTTAAAAGAAATATAAAATCATTAATATTACCCGAGGAAGATGATCCATTAATAGCAAAAATATGTGAAAGTAATTCTGTGCAAGAAATATTTGATTTAATTCGTATTAACGAAGAACAACTTAATTGGAAAAATATTTCAATGGCATTAGCTATGATCAGGGAACTTCAAATTATATATTTTCGAGTTTATATGTACGAAAAGAACTTAAATTGTTCAGAATTGAGTTCTAAGGAAAATTTTGAAAATATATTGACTAATCCTGAATTTATAAAAATATTAAATTTACTAGAAGAAAATTATGAACAAATGAACAATCAATGTTTATCATACTGCGTATTGTGTTTGTACAAATTAGGAGTAGAAACATATTTTCAAACTTATGAAAAACTTATTCATAGACTTAAAAATGTATTAATATCAACTCCTGTTGAAGAAATAAATACTTGCATATTATCAAGGTACACAGTAGCCATCGTTAGCCGTAGAGATTTATCAAGTGTGTTTATGCTCAAAGATATTTGGCCAATCATTTTAAAAAAACTTTGTGAGTAATCAAAATATATAATAATAATTTCAATAGCATGTTTATTTATGTGTTGATTTAATTTAGACAAATGCGATTCGTATGAAGATTTAAGACATTTATCAATATGTTTGTACAATTTACAATGGTTTTTAAATAAATCCATAATGGATATTTATGCTGAAAAAGTAAAAGAAATTTTACTGAATGATTCACAAGAAGATGACAAAATAAAATGTACCGTAAAGTCATTAAGACTATTGAACAGCCCTTACTGGTCTAATCAAAATATCTATCTCATTAGAACTTTGTTACTACAGCTATGTGGTGCCATTAAAAACATAGCTCTTTATGACTTGATTCAACTACAAATGGTAAAGTATAAAACTTTGTATTTACTTAATCTTATTGTAATAAATGTGGTTAGATCATAAAAACAGTAACATTCACAACTATATATTATATTTTTTTTTACATTTAAATGTAATTTAAACAAGCAGAAGTGGTTTCTATATCCTAATTTACCTGAGAAGAATTGTCATTAGTCCATTATATCCATTTTCCAAACTCCCCTGGTTAGTCTATCGCTGTATTTAAGGTAAACATAATCATATTGCGGTATCACATTAATGGAAAATATTTACATTATTAAATTTATAAATATAATTTTACTCAATAAACAAACAACTAAATAATATTTGACAAAAGAGTAATATTATTCTTATAGTAGTTGTGTTCATATGTTTCAGGTTATTTTAAAACAGTTGGAACCATACGAGTTATTTGATGAAATCCATAAAGTAACAACAAACTGGCTGTCCAAATCTGAGGCTGAAATTGATATCACTCTTCTGCGCCTATTATCTTGCATAGTTCCATCAGCAACACCAGTGCGTCGAAAAAAAATTGAGGCGTTATTAAGAAAGCAATTTTTATTAGAAAATAATGTTTTCGCCCAAGCGTGTGTAGGGCCATTGTTTAATATTATCAGGAATTTAAAAACATCTGATACAAAAATTTGCCATGCATATTGGTCTAGTGTCCTTAATTGCTTACAAACTGGCGAACCTACTCTCCGAGAACCTCACAAGCTATTAAGATTATGCAACAGGTAACAAATAAATGTATGCTATTATCAACCATCAATTAAATTTATTATTTTTAAATGTCTAAGATTTTCAAAAAATGTTTTGTAGGTACATGCATTTTAATAACAATATGGCTGGAACATATAGACATTATGCTTTTGAAAATCAAATGATTTTGTGGTTGAACAATGAGTTAGAAAAAGGACTATCTGCTCATGTTCCATCTAGGTTCAGTAAAATTTTTGCATTTTTCGTTAGCTACCCTAATGAGATAATTGGAAATGAAATTCCAGAAAAATTTGTTAGAAATGTTCTCAATAATCTGGGACAATACAATGTATATGATTGCTATATAGTTAGCCGAGGTCTTCATACAGCATTATTTATTCGGAAAAAAAAATGCTTACTGCCCAAATTTTTAGATCAATATGTAAGTGTAGTATAATTATTTTTTTATTTAGAAACCAAGGTTCTTTGTAAAAACACAATATTATTGGTCACTAAAAAGTATACAATAATATTAAATTGTTAATTATTTTATAGGTTAGATTGGGTACAGCATTAAATAAACGATCACTAGAATTACTTAGTCAGAACGATGATTTAAATATTAATCAATTAAATGCTATGTTTCGAGGATACAATAATAGATACAATGTTGGTGATCCTGAACTTTTTTATAAGTTACTCGATAAGCAAGTAAACCGTTACCCATGTATCAAACATATTTTTTAATACACATTTAAATATTATCTTGCAGGTTCAAAAAGTTCACTTCCAATGATTTTTCATCACGTTCTGTAAGAGAACTTACATATAATTTGTCTATTTCTGATTGGTATGACCGTGAATTAATGAATTCATGTGCAGAATATTGTTTAAATAATCACAAGTATATTTTAGCCGATAATGTTGAAAAACTATTGACTCTTTTTTATACACTTGGAGTTCATGATGAAAAGTTTTTAGAATTTCTTCCATATGGAGCTGAAATAATAAATAGGTAGCTAAGTAATAGTATAAGTATAAAATGTGTACAGGGCTACTTCAAAAAAAAATTTTGAAAATAATAATTATGCTTATTGTGTATACAAATATTGAGATTCATGCATTTATCCATGTTGTCCCATATTGAGCTTACAATAACTTTATGCTGTATTTCAAAAAGCATTATACTTATAAAATTGTACTTAATTTTTAAATACTCCTAACAAAACTCCCTACAAAAAAGCATTTTTTTTTTTTCGAAATGCGGTAGTATCAATTTTTTATTATGATAACATGACATAAGTAGTTTATATCCCATGCGACAAGAATTTCAGAGTTGTTTATTTTTTATCTTTAAATCACAAATTTGGGAGGATGAACCGGAAATACCATGTAATATTCTGACTCCTGAATTATAATATAAAAAATAAAAAACCTTAACATAATTTATATTCTAATATTTGTTGTTGAATGCTTCGAGCCTATATTTATATATAAATTGGATTAATAATTAATATTTGATTTCAGGGATAAACATAAAATGTCTGGGCTCAATTTCATGAAGGCTTCATTGGCTCTGTGTTATTTTCACACCTTGCCTTCATCTATTACAAACTATTTATTTAGTGTTGAATTTTTAGAAAGATTAGATGATGAATTAAATAACTGTTATGCCAAGGTATTTAATTTAATTTATTTTCGATGCCATAAATTATAGAATTATTTTTTTTTTATTCATTTAATTTAGGCAGTGTTTCCTCAGAAAGTAAGACAACTTCTAATGGTACTAAATAGAGCTGTGTGTCTAGATTATCCTGAACTTGAAGTTCCCTGGTTCCATACAAAGTATTGTGAAGAAATACAATCTTTAGGTGGGTTTCTCAATATTTTATAGCTTCTGTATTTCAAATTTTGAAGTATACATTTATATAATCTTGGAATTGTTTAGTGTCTAGGAATACATCATCTTTTTATTCAGATGTTGAACAAAGATTAAAGCATTTGATAAAAAACAATGGTTTTATAAGAACAAATTCGTATTCTCCATATAGTTACAAGTTAGACTTTGAAATAAATCTGAAAACAGACGATGTTTCCAGTGAGGCAACTAACAACAATAAGTGAGTTTTGAAATTTAAGCGTGTTGGCGGTTGAAGTACATATATTTGTATTCTTCTTAATTAAAACATTTTAGGTTAGCTTTGATGCTGTTAAATGAAAATGATTTACGAAAAAATGACAATGAGTTAAGAGGATACTTCATGATGAAAAAAAGGCATTTAGAAATACTCGGTTACAAAGTTATCTGGATTAAAAAGAACATATGGAACTCAATGTTTATGTCTGAACCAGATGCTAAAATGTCATACCTTAGAAATTTAATTTGGCCTAAGGAGAAATAGACTATTTTGATTAAATTAACTAATGATATTGCAGATGATGCTATTTGATTTTTAGTTATATTTCTTTTTTAAATAGTTCCTACCAGACATCTTGAATCAATAGAAATATAATTGTTTTAAGCTCTCTTCTTAATGATGTGTTAGTAATTATTAAAAAATTATTATAATTTTATATGGGAGTGTAACACACTCAGTATATTTAAGTAAAATAACCATGCCTGTTATTGTTAGCTGTTGATATAATATACATTTGTTTGTTTTGTTATTAAATGAATCAAATGTCACATAGTATTTTTGTAATCTATAAAGATAAAATATATAATAGATACAAATCTACAATATGTGTGTATAGTGTTTTAACTAAAACCATTTTATGATATTAAAAAACTACAAAGACAACCTAAATGTTCACGCTGTGTACAAACAAATTTCAATTGTATACACAATATATGGTTAGTTTTCTCGTAAAATTATATCCAGCTTCAAATTAATCTTTCCAAAGAATAAAATACATAAACCTTTTTTTTTATCTCTGGTTCCGAAAATAGTGACAGTCACAACAGATTATTTTAAGGTAGAATTTTATTCTGAATACAGTAAATAATTGTATGTTATGGTTATCATTGTTTTAGAAGTTAAACCTTTTTGGTTGGTATTAGTTCATAATAATATTTTGAAGTCACACGTGTGTACTGCTTAAAAATTACATTAAAACAAATATGCATATATAAACACAATAATCACTGTGTACCTTAAAATGTAAATATACACAGGGTGTACTGGAAACAAATCTTGCACTCTATGGAATAGTACTTGATATAGGATAGTAGATTTTTTTTAAATTCAATTAAAAATAATACGATTTTTTGAAAATTTAATCATTATCATCTTTATTTTACACTTATCGTGTCCAAAATCGTAATTTTGGTGTAACACATGAATTAGCATAGACATATACCTCCCAACAAAAAAAGAATACTGAACAAATCAAGTGACCCATTTTTATAAGAGGATTTTCGGGATATCTCATAGTACGGTTAATTTTTATTCTATAAATAAACCCAAACCACCCTGAGTTATTGACAAAAAAAAAATCTACTCTTAGTGCCCCTTATATAGTACCAATATGTACATGTATGCATATTTAACTGGTTAAAGCTATCAAGAATGAATATAATATTTTTATATGTTTTTTAAATCAATTATAAGTATACAATTGAAGACGTAGGTATAAACAGTAAAAAGCCAGCACAGTGGGGTCAGGGCATAGTGCGGATGGAGAGGTCACAGGTCTACAGATTTTATTATAACTGAAAGTGATAAAATCACTTTTAAATAAACTCTTCGAATTGTATACGTTATAGTTCCATTTTAGATCTACCTTCGGTCTAATTTTCAGATCTAAATCTCTAAAACTGCTTGAAAATGTGAAATAAAGGAAAAAATTCTATCCCTTCTTAGGGAAAGGGTTTATGATATTTTTTTGGTTTGTTAATGTTTATCGATAGTACTATGTTTGAAGAACAATTCATATCAATTTAGAACATTTTCGACTATTTTTTAAAAAGTTATAGAGCATCGTAATTTTAAGTGGAAAATTTTGTAAATTTGTTTGGGTGTTTTTCTCGAATTTGATAGGGAAGGGGTGACTTTTTTTAATTTTTTGGTCAATTAAGTACCTTCCAGGTATGATTTCTGATCTGTAGAGTTACTACACGAAGAAATCGGTTCAGCGGTTACGAGATATCGTGGGTCCAGACACAAAAATAAAACACATCATTGTAAAAGCAATACCTTCTCAGCTCCGCATCGAAGCTAAAAATACAATTATTATAAAAAGCAATTATTGTTTTTCTAAGAATAAATGTTAAACACATTTTATTTGTATTGCTTAAACTCAGACCAACTTCGAACGAAAATAGCTTTACTACATTTCTAGAAATTGATAAAAAATAAATCTAGTTTTAAGTATCCTGAAATATTAAAAAATAATGGACATAATCGTGATCACTGGTGCGTGAGTGCAATTACCTTATAAGATAATTAGTAATTAAAAAATATTTTCGCCTTGTGTTTCATGGGTAGACGTCCAAAAGAACATTTATGTTTATATAAAATAGGCCAAATCCCCCAATTAGACCTCACGGGACACAATTGTGTATCCTTTTTTATTGATTTATATTTGTATTATATATGATTATTTGTTGTGTACTTATCATTTTTTCAATATTGTATTGTATTTCTGTATACTACTTTTACGACCGTTTTCAATATAATCTTCATTTTGCATACTATATTAATTTGTTGTAAATTATTATAAAAAATCCAAATGGACATGTTTAATTTTCACACTTGTAAAATTAAAAAAAAATAAAACAAAAATCTTACTTACCTTTGTTAGTCTACCGTTAGCATTGAAGATGACAAAATTGTTACCGAAATACGTGTACGCAAAGATTGTATCATTTATATATTTATTGTATAATATGGTTAAGAGTAGTGATGGGAATTCGAAAATCCGGATTTTTCAAAAAAACGCTTTTTAAGTCATTTGAAAATCATATAATTGTTAAGTACTATTACAATATAAAGATGTGTACCTAAGTAAAATTTGTTGATAAAAGTTTTTAAAAAAAACTCTTAACTTTGTCTATAAAATGCTTTCGGATTTCGGATTCCGGATTTTCGGATTTCAACAAATCCGAAATTCAAAAGCAGTTTATCTCTTTGGTGTTTTGTTTTATTTTCACATATTTATCAAAAAAATGTTACTTAGATATAGAGCTTTATATTGTAAAATTATTTAACACTTAAATGATTTTTAAGTAGCTTAAAAAGCGTTTTTTTGTGAAAATCCGGATTTTCCGATTCCCATTACTAGTTAAGAGTTTTAAATATTAATTTCTTTACATTATATACATTAATGTATTGTAGACCTATTTTGTGTCTACATTTTAGCCATTCAGTTCTAAAATTATACTCGTACTATACCAGTCGTTTACGATGGCGGCGCATTAGGTAGGCAATATCGATACATGTGCGTATGCAACAGATAGACTGACAATGTTATATTATTATTTTCTGTACAATAATATTATATGCAATATAATACGTGTGTGCTTGTAATATGACGTGCGCATACAAGAGAGTAACCAACCTGACGAATGTCTGTAACACCTCCTTAGTAGAGACATAAGCTAAGATTTTGTAATGTTACATTGTATCGCATGTGTCACATTGGCCGACCGTTACAAAAAGTGTCCGAACGCCGTTGAATGGGGTTCAATACGGTGAAAACCAATAAAAAAAGCTAAAAGTCTGTAAAATGTTGTGAAAACTATTTTACATATTGTTGTGGAAAAGTTTGAAACTCAAAATTCGACTTGATTGAATAATATTGTTAAATGTTAATTGTTATTATTGAGTCGATACGATTAATGACTTAGGAATAAGAATTTTCGACAGTAATGGAAAAATCATTCTTATTTAATATAAAAAAATACTTTTTTATTTGCGCATTACTTAACCGCACTACTTGTCCCGTCCTAAATGTTAAACTTTAAAATAATTTATTCAAAATTGGTTATGCACTGGTCGAAAATTTAAGCAAATTATTTATTATTTAAAAAGTTAATCGAATAAAAAAAATAATAATTTGAATATTGTCTAATATTATAAAATATAAAAACAAAACGTTTCCCAAAACAAAAAATATATTATTATTTTAAGAGAAAACCAGCGTCTTATTCTTAATTAAGCACCCTGTATAGTCATCAGATTTTGTAGTGACAAAACATTTTTTTCGTTTGTACAATTGACAGGCTTTCAGATTTAAAATAAATGGTTTTTAAAAAATACCACGTCAAAATGAAAAGTAGAACGCCTAAAGAAATATTTACCAAGTTTAGTTATTGGAAAAATATAATCATTTATATACATTTTCCTTTATTTTTGAGATTATGATAAATATGTCAAAACTGTGTTTATATGTGAATTATTTTACTATGGTAATGTAACCATCATAACGACAATACTGTCAAATGTATTTTTGTGTGTTGGTATAATTTGATTTGTATCGTGTGGTACTGTTTTTCGAATCATTAACGATGGATGCCGTGCCCAATGAGAGTTATGGATGATATCGGCAGTGCATTCGCCTTGGGCCTTATTCCAAGCGGTTAATGGTTTCCGAAACGCACCGACCGGATTCAGAAGGCGTTGCAACGCGAGTGTGAAAATCACAAGTAACCAAATCAGACAATTTTCAATATGATGGGATTTGATTTCCAGAGCGCTTTTCAATCGGCCACCACCCGAGCTCCGGCCATCGGCGGAAAATTTGCTGTTTGGGATGGCCTGTATGCCGCCATTGAATGTACAATGGTCGGCATCAGGAAGAAGAAAGACCCAAGCATTTTTTCATGTACAAGCCACGCTGATAACTGATATCAAGGTCGACTCGGGGCTTTACTATGAGAATCGGGGGATTTTGAAAATAACAAATGACCGATGGAAGCTAGTTATATTAAGATTTCAGTAATTACATTACAAATGCTCAAACACTAACGAACGCAGACATTTAATCGAAAAACCATTCAAGTCCTTTGTAATAGGCTGCAGACAGGCCAATAAGGACAGTAGCCTTTGTCATGGACCTGACGACGTATTTCGCGGTTTATACGGCAGCGGCTGTAGAATTACTTAAGATGAAATTCCAGGCGACATCTCTCTTCCTTATGGCCATCAACGAATATTGTACCAGCAAACCCACACATATCCATTTTGCTGCGAAGCTAACAGTCCAACAAAACTCGTTTTAGAATTAAATTACAATTAAAAAAGTGTGACTGTATTAACGTTATAACAGCTATCGACTAAGCTCGACGCGTTACTAATTGAATCCATTGTCGTCCATTGGAGCATATTATAAAAAAATACTAACTGTTATTGACATTACATTTTTGTCGTTGTCAGACAATAATAATTGTATTTTCACTCACATAAAATCTACTTATGACACCGGGCAGTTCTTCCCAAATCCCTATTGTAAATAAGTTCATACACAATAATAATAAATATTATTAAAGCACAAAACAGTTTATACAAGACAAAAATTAATTTAGGTAACAACTGTAAAAATAGTATGTATAATTAGTTATTAATTATTTACTAATAAATTGTTATGAGTAGTTACTATGGTGTAATAACACAATAATTATTATCATGTTATTATCGATAACTCCAAAACTGGGTTAATTGTAA